CCCCCGATACCACCCAGTCCCCCAGAAAGAACTTGAATCATTCTAAAATGCTACATGGAAGTCTCACCCCCAAAGCCAGGGTGGTGCAGTGGGTAGACTGTCAAACCAGGACTTGGGTGATCTGAAAGCAAATCCCTGCTTAGTCACGGAGCCTCACTGAGTAGTGGCAGTAGTAAAACCACTCCTTGAACATCTCACACAACTTGAAAACGCCATTAGGGCCATTATAAGTGAGGAGTGACTTAATGGCACATCACAACAGAGAGATGATCCAGAAAAAAGTACAGTAATGGCTAATGAGACTCAAAGCTGGTGAGAGATTCAACACAACCACCATAGATGCATTCCTTCTCCCCAGTTCCTTGCAAAGATCTCTCACCAAGGTGGCCAAAGTTATTTCTGTCCCCAACCCAATTCAAAATGAAATTAAGACTGATCTAAATAATACATGTCATCAAAAAAATTGCTGGAACTAAGAGATCACCACAGGCTCCAGGACTTTCCCCAAGAATGTAACATTGGAGCCTAATCAGCAATTGTGCAAAACAGGTTTCAGAGATATCTTTTTTTGGAAGTGTATATTCTACCTCTTTTTGGGCACACTGGAACCCTACCTTCCAACAAAGAATGTGTCCCAAAAGACCTATTTACCACTCCTCTTACCCACTTGTCAGTCCTCACCCTAGCTATTTTTACAAGCTGGAATGACAAGGATCAAGTATGTACATGACAATCACTTCTCCAAGGATCCTGTCCACAGCCTTAAACTGGGCAAACCGAAAATTTCCCATGATCACGGGTAGTTTATATATTATCAGGTACTTTATCAACTGCAGCATCCAAGTCAACAGGTCAAAGTAATTTTACAGCTGCAAATTATTGTACAAATTGACCACAAGGGACTGCTGAGGGATCTGTTTGCCAGCATTGTCAAAAAAGTGGTTTCAGCTGGCTTCCAGCCTATGTCAAGTTAGACTAATTCCACATTTTCTGCAGATGTTGCTGCTCCTGTCACTAGCCCACTTGTGTCATCATTACCACATTCCTATAAAACCACGGGTGCAATTCCTTGGCAGGAGTCCTACAGGAGTGATCATGTCCAACACCTACAACAGTGGTTCCCATCCTTGGGTAACCCAGGTGTTCTTGGACTGCAGATCCCAGGAGCCCCAACCAGCATAGCTGGTGGTGAAGAGTTCTGGGAATTGCAGTCCAAGAACACCTGGGTTACCCAAGGTTAAGAACCACTGACCTACACCATTTCAAACAGGAATTGTCATAGATAGTATTGCTTGCTTTAGCAAAAGGAAAATCCCCAGGAGACATCAGGAGACCATCTAAAGTCCTCAGCTTCCCGGGTGAACCACAATCTCTCGTCCCTCTGCAATGGCTCTGAGTTTCATTAAGTTCTGTCAGTAGAGATCCATCTGTAACAACAGAACTACAGAGAACTCTTCCACAGACAAAATATCAACATCACCCAACAAACAAACAAACAAACCCTAAAGTGTGTCCTGCAGCATGAGTGGGGCCAGTGACCACTTGGGAAGAGCCCATGGATTACAAAAGAGGTTCTGAAATCCTGAGCCACTCCAAATAAGGCTGTGCCAACACAAATGCGTAAGTCCACAAGATGAACAGACTGCAGCATATACAAATCCCGAGACTTAACCCCGTTAGTTCAAAACAAGATTGTTCTGCTTCAGTGTGTATCACAGTACACTACCAAAATCCCTGTTTGGTCCTGCCACCAACCTTCAAACACAGACAGACCAGCAGACTACAGAGTGGCATTTACCCAATGATGGGATTAAACTGAGATAGACCACTGCAATGCAGCACCTCACACCCATTTTCACCCACTGCAGCACAGAGATCTAGACTGGCAAAGCAGGGCATCATCCCATCGCCACTACTTCGTGGAGTCAGGTCTAGGCCAGATCACTGTAGTCATCCAGGATAGAGAACAGGATGGCTGATTTCAACAGGTGTGTTTGTCTGGGGGAAACGACCCAGGCTCTCTGGCTTGGGGCGGGAGGCAATTTGGCGGGCTATATACCCTGTTGTGCCCCCTTTCCCACCGCAACTAGTTATGTGCCCACTGTTGTATTGACCTATTTTAAAAAACGTATCTTGCCCATCAGCGGGCAGTAACCCCCAGCTCTTTACAGCTGAGAAGCGTGGCAAAACCAGGCAGGCAGATCTGCACCAACTGAAGGCCCCACAACCCCTCCTCCCCTTTCTCTAGCGAGGTGGGGGGGGCTGCCCTCATACAGTACCTCCTCCTGCAAATG